TCTGTGTGATTTTGCTGTTTTGCCTAATATCCCGTAGATATGTTTACCTTTTAAAGATACGTTAAAATCTATTCTTGTACTTTGTGTGGTACACAGACTTTATGTAGAAACCTGTATATAGGCTCACATGTACCATATTAGATGATACATCTTCAGCAGAGAATTTTTGCAGCGCCCTCATCTCTTAAGGCTACAAGGTGCTTTTAAGTTCTGTTTGAAACTCTGTTGATTGGAATTTCAAATCAGCAAGAAAGGTAAAATTTCTTAGGAAGCACATGAAGAAGCCAAAGCACACAGCGTACAATTCTGTACAGGAGTAAGCCTTTGCCATTATTGAGGATACTTTTGAAGAATCTCTGTATAGATCTACACAAATTGTTTATTAAATAAAATTTGGAAATGGCCTAAGCTGCAAATTCTGGTGGTTTTGAGAGTTTGACCGGAGAATTAAATTTATAAATGCTGCCAGCATGCAGGTAAGATGGTTTTAAAGTTTTAGTAACTCTGGTGTTGTGTGGTAGTATTGACCTTCTTTTCCTTTACCTGCCATTGGTAGCTTCTTCAAACAAATTGGAAAGGGATTGGTATGGTATGTAAGAGAGTCTTCGAAAGCAATGAAAGTAAATGTCTAGCTTGAACAATTAAGAAGATTGATAGTTGGTGGTAATCAGAGATTTCATCTTTTCATGCCAGCAGTTATATTTTTGTATCTGAATGGCTTGGATCTTTCTAGAAATGCAGAAATGTACCTGTACATAAGTGGGGTTCAGTTTTCGTCAGTAGATGCATCTGCCATATTAAGTATATGACACGTACTGTATGGAAAAGTCTAAATATGCTCTTTATTCTTACAACAGTAAGAATGTGAGGCAGTTATTAAAGGGTAATTGTGGGAGCACGCAACTACTTCTTAGGTAATATACAGCAAGATCTTTCAAATAGGGACACTGTTGAATGTGTTTAAGCCACTTTGTAAATATGTAAGCTTCGTAAATATTTAATAATCTTACTTGGCATTTCCACCACTTCTCAAAACATGCTCACAAATAAGAAATCAGTTTTCCTTTAGCATCTTGCTGAATGTTTCATCAGTAAGATCAAGACCAGAATCTTGGTGGGGGTGGGAAGTGTTTCCTTTCTATTATGTTGCTATTCGAGTAACAGGGATCATTAGATTTACCTGTATGTTCTGTAACAGTATGGTGTTCTGCAGCTGTGTGTTAGAAGAGACCAGGACATCACGCCTGGCCAAGTATCTCCACTAGAGTACTCCCACCATGTGCTGTGCCTCTCTGGTGGTTCGCGGTAGTCTGCTTAATGGGCATTTGTGCCATGGTCCAGAGAGTCTCACCACATTTTGTTGAGTTTACAAAGAGAAAAAATTAAATATATAAAAATAAATAAATAAATAAATAATAAATAAATAAATAAATAATAAAAAAAACAGGGACCCTCCAGAATTGCAATTTGGTTTTGTGTTGTGGATTATCAAGCCATTTTGTTTAATTGTTTCTGATGCTTCATGTATTTTGCTGATACTTTAACAGTTTCCTACTTTCAGAATTTGAAGACAAAGTTATGAATTGAATTCAGGTTTCAGTTTAAATATTTTTCTTACCATCAATCCATATTCTAGTCTTGTCAGTGCTCTTGAATGTAAGAATGAGGAAAATGCAGTCTGGTTTTGGTATCACTCCTACCCAACAAATTAGGTTTGTTGTTCTCTGGCAATCTTAGACTTCCTTTGACTGATGTTTTTTTGCATGTCCTATGCAAAAGATTCACCTACAGGGTTACAAGTAAGGCAGAGCTGATGCGCTCGTGGCTTTAGCCGTTGATGCTCTGGTGATGAAATGGAAGTGAATTTTTGATGATCAATCATGAAGTAGTTTCCCAGGTACTTAAAGGAACTTAAAGGTTTTGGTGCACTAAATAATGTTTTCCCAAGATGTTTGCATTAGTGGCCTGAGGTGTAGATGATTCATAGTCTACTTCTAACATCAGAAAACAATTGCAATTCTGTGAGATGTATTATTGCATTTACTAGATTGACATCTTCTGTGGTTGAAGTGGGAGTCTAGCATATTTTGGTTGATGGCTACGGTAAACTAACTTTAGTTGGAAGATGGATTCCCTTTTCCAGTGCTCTTTTCCCTAGCAGAAAGTTATTTATTTTGCCTTTTAGCTATGGTGTGGTGAAAGAAGCATTTCTGCAATAAAATCCTTTAGGAGAAACAGCCCATATTTGATATCTTCCAATAATGAACTTAACAGTAAATATACCACAAGAGCTCATTAATCTAACTCTCCTTTATAACAATAAAAAGCAGACTTCTCAGGACACAAAGTTTCATCTCTAAATCTGGGTGGGTTTTAAGGATCAAAACAGAAGCAAATATATTGACCGCCTGTCCCAGTGCACATGAGTTAATAATTTAACTGTTGTAAAAGCTGATGGTCCTGAGACTAGACAAGGCATTAGTGCACATGCAGACTGCAGAATGTCCACCCTAATGTCTAGACGAGAGAAGAAGCCAGGAATGAATAGAGCAGTTATAACTTAATTGAAGAAATCTGCTCTAAACTAATGAAAAAATGTTCCAAACTACTGTTATTCAACTAGCTACCATGTAGCACTATTCAAATCCTCTAAATTCTAAATAAAACTTAATAAATAAATAAATAAATAAAAGTTCCAATCTTCAAAGTCACTTAGGCATTTGGTATAATGGGACTAAAGATCTGAGGTCTGGTTTGGAAATGAGGCTTTAGAAGATCCCTATTGCTATTTTGAAAAGAATAAACTCCTTCATTAAGAACAGCTAATATATGCAAACCTGTCCTTAGTGATGTTGAAAATGCTTGGGTACTCTTTCATTTATTAGGTATTATCAGTTCTAGTTAGCTATTCATATTTAAATAGATACATGAATAGCAGGTTTAGATCATTTAGTTGCTGCAATTAGAAATATTTTTCCCTCAGACTGTAAATTAGCAGGATCAAAAATGAAAATCGCCTGTCATTCTTTGGGCAGTTATTGAAATTCTGTTCAGGAATAAGGAAATATTTGATGAACAGAAGAAATAAATAGCATGTTTCATCTGGAATGAATATAGTATATGGTACGGCTTTTCCTGTATGAGAACAGGTACTCTAAGAAGAACTGAAAGGTGTTTGATAAAGATATGACAAAGTAGAGAATAGATAATATTTTCTTGGGGGAAGCGAAGTAGAAAGGAACATCTTGAAGCTACTGTGGTCTAAAAAGGGCCAGGAGGCTTTGTAGAAGGTGAGGAGATGGTGCAGCTGAAAGGCTGTGTTCAAAATTGATAAATCATCTTCTAAATGTATTTCCTTAATAGATTTGTTGAACTTGTCAAAAGGGTCTTACTGAAGCTGTGCAGGGGATTGTGTATATATTCGGCATCTCCTTTAAATCACACTAAATAGCATTTCTACATGTGCTTGTTAACCAAGTGGAGAGGATCTGTAAAATAAATAAATAAATAATCAGGATTTTAAACCAGTCTTTACCTATTGGGGGCTGAAATGACTTCAGCCCGATCCTTATCTGCAGGATTTCTTGCATCTGCTTCTGTCACATCCACTGCAGATAAGGTGATGGACTTAATCGATTTTTGAGCTGATCCAGTCAGGTGTTGATGTGTTCTTGTACCTACAGTGGACACTGGTTCAGTAATTTGAAATCTTATTTCAAAAATAATGAAGGGAAGCCTTCGGTCCTTGCTTTCTGTAAGAGAGAATTGAGTGAAAATGCCTATTCAGCATTGAAACCAGAGTCTGAAGACATTTTCATTTTGACAATCAAACCTTGAATTTCTGGCACCTCACGGAAGATATTCATCACGTTTCAGTGTGGTATGACCAGATTGAGATTGAAGTAGAGGCAATGATGACAAGGAGAGAGTGTTATCTCAATTCAGTCTGCATCACATCTGTATTCCTGAACTTGCACGTACCGATACAGAAAACTTGTCTTTTTTGCTTTGTTTCTAGAACTGGGTTTCAAAATCAGATAATAGACATGTATTTTTGTAGCTGGTACTATTGAAACAAAGAGCAAAGATGAAACAATTTTTCTTCAGTTGTGTTTTTTTTTTAACATAATTCTGTATGTGATACTTTGTCCTTTTCCATTTTCATAACAATGGTATTAACATAAAGGTAACCTGTTGTTCTCTCATACAATTGATGTTTTGTAGTTCAGGAGCTTGAAATATTTTGCATACACAACAAACACGTACAGCTATATGCATATACTCTGTCATTCACTCATTTTTATTCTTTTCCATCTCTCAAATGTCATCCCTTTGTGGCTTTAATGTCTTTTGAGCATTCAAGGAGAGGCAGTAATGTAAAGCATTCAGTGGGAGGCAGTGTGATGTTCTTTGCACCCATTATTTAGGAAAACAATTGCGGCATATGCAATAGCATACCTCATTTCATGTACAGTGGTCTACGTAAACCCTCTGTCTGTGTAACTCTTCTCACTACTTTATCATCCTAGAGGTAAGGAATTTGAGACAATTTCTGTACTGCTCTAAAGTCAAAAGACTGATTTTCTTTGTAGACTAGAAGGAGGTGGCTGCTGGAGATGACCTCCTGGATAACTAGGCAATGTTGACTAGCTTTAGACAGAGAGACAGTAACCTACATCTTCTCAGCTACAGAGCAAGATGATGTGGCATGATGTGTCCCTGTGTCAAATGCCTGAGGAATTCCTCTTAAATATACGAGGATGGCAAAAAAAACACATTAGTGTGACTTGGGCTTTGAATTGTGTTGATAAATATGCAAGAAAATGCAGTAAATAATTAGATATTTATTAATGCCATGTCAGGAAAGTAAGTAAAATTTGATTTTTGAGAACTGAGTGATGCCTCGGTACCTCCCTTCTGATTCAGGTAAGATCCTGCCACTTTCTTCAAGTCCTTAACTTTGTTTTTTGTTTTTTTTTTCTTTCCCCTTTCCATGGTAGGTTATGTGTTCTGTATGTTACATCGCCTGCCTGAACAACATGACTGCACATTTGACCACATGGGACGTGGGCGTGAGGAAGCCATTATGAAAATGGTGAAACTGGATCGGAAAGTAGGAAGATCTTGCCAACGCATCGGCGAAGGATGTTCCTGAGTGCAAGACTGCAACCAAATGCTGTTCTCTTAGTTCACTAATGTTAGCCTTATTTAGGACAAAGTCAGCCAGACACCTTGTACTAGGCAAGTTTCAGACTACAGCCAATCAGTTTCCTTTCTTTAGCCAACCGTCCTGGTACTGTAGTTTAGGGGATGATGGTGGTTGAAATTGATTTCTGGCTGGTTACTAAGGTGCCTGCTAGCCACCGTATAAAATTAAAACATGAAGAAATATTATTTTTTGAGCATGGCTAGTGGATTTAAACAAAACAAGAAAAATCCAAAGGCTTCTGTTATTGCTGGAGTCACTGTAAAAGCCTTACGCTGGAAACATTCCAGCTGCAGAGTTAAAACAAATAGTTGTGTAGAAGCTGGTGTAAAAGTTTGCTATGCACATGGCTTTCAGACAAACTGTTTAATGTGCAGCCTTTCACCTCTTCACTTCTAGTTAATCCTGAGGAGGTGAAATACTACTAAGAGCAGCAGCTGCTGCTGCTTAAGCCCAGAAGACCTGACTGGTCACTCGTGCCTTCATCGCGTGTGGCTTTTGAATTAGGCAGTGTCACCAGCATCAGGGATTCTGTTGGGGTAGGAACATCTTTCTGGTTCTTCCCAGGAAGCCAAAAAGAAAGGGGGACAGAGATTCTTATGAAAAATTTTTATATCTATCTTACTATAAGGAACCTATCAGGGTTTTTTTGTTTTATGTTTTTTTTTTCTTCTCGGTTAAATTATGATCTCACTTTAAAGCCAACTCCATCCCAGAGCAGTAAATGGTGCATACATTTTACATGGCATCCACAGAGATTCTGAGTCGTGTGAAGATTGCACATACATTGAGCAGTGCAGCCGTTCCCACCGGCCGAAACCTGATTGGCTCTCGTTTGCCTTTTGCTAAGTGCAGGTATCTGATAATTGATCAAATAAGGCTAATTCACAGCACAGTAGCCATGGCTGGATTCTACAGACTGACTTTCTGTAGCTAGACTTATATATTGGGGAAAAAAAAAAAGGACATTTTGTAGCAAACGGAATTCAGTAACAGTATTGGGGAACAACCGGTGAAACACCCTGTGTCAGATTGAGTTTGTATTCCTCGCTTCCAGAGTGTCAATGAGATAATCAAATGGGCTTCGTCAGCCCTGTTTCTATGCAGCTGAACGCTCTCATGAAAATCTCTGCCCGCATCTATTGCAAAGCAAGTATAGCAAGTGAACGTGAGAAGCATTACGTGGAGTAGGATGTTTTGGCTCTGTTTAGACCTATGGTTCCGTATTATGGTATGTCGCATTGAGCTGAGCTGAGCTGAACTGAATTGCACCGGTCTCGTCAGTTCGTGAACAAAAAAAAAGCAAAAATAATATTCAGCATGTCTCCTGCTGCACACAGGGTTACGCAAGTAAAAAGGATTTGTACTCACGTGGCCCAGCTAAATCCCGAGTGAATTTCCCAGTCCATTGGTAAGGTATTAACAATCAGGTAAATGTGTAAGAAAACCTGAGGGAGGAAAAGATTTTGTCTCATCTTGAATACTGGGCAGACAGAAAACATCAGAGAGGTGCAGTAACAAGTCACTTGAAAAAACCCAGTGTTTTGGGAGAAGGTTTGTATGAGTCATCCTCCATTCTACTTGTCGCAGGTAACTAACTCCTTATCGGCCAAATCATATTATTACACTGGTAGAAGCATTTAACAAGGAGAACTAATTGCAAAACCAACAACGAACAACAACAACAAACCACATCTCCACACACATTCAGCATCTGACTGTATTAGCATAAATTAACCACGAATCAGAAGTGTCCCATCAGTAGAAAACACAAGCTATCCAAAAGGCAAGAGGTTTTTTTAATTATTATTATTATTATTGTTATTATTCAAGAATATGAAACCAGCAGCAAAATCGTCTGTAATGTGTTGCATTTTCAGGAAATGGTCCTGTTGAAAGGGACTGGCCAAGGATATTATTTACATTTGCCGTGAAGAATTTATAAAAGCATGGATTTCAGCTGCTGCTGTGAAACGCACTTTCTTTTCCTACAAAACCCTACTCATAACATTTGATGGGCATTCTGATTGATACACGAGACTTTTCTGCATTAATACTGAAGATGCTATTTTGTTCCTCCTTAATATTCTCTTTAAGCTTGTTACAAGTGCACAGATGGTTTCAAGGTGGCTCTTGTGAGAACACTACTTAAAAGTTCATGTGAATTATGGACAATGTTCACTTTAAACAAACAAGTTGGGGACGGGGTTGTTCCTTTGCAGTATCTGTTCTGTGAAGTTTGTTAAACGTAAAGAAAGCTTAAGTTCTTGTATCTTAAAAGAAGATCTTATTTAACCCTTTTGTGTTCTAGATTTACTTACACATGTAGCCTAGAGCTCAGTTTTAGTTTAACATTGTGAAAATATTAAAAGAATCTTGTAACTTTATTCTTTTTCCTCCTGCTAAAAAATTAAACCAATCAGATTAAAGTTTGAATTCCTTTCTGCCTATTCCAACAGGTCTTGCTATTTTGCACCATTTCTGCTGCAAGCTCATGTAATAAATATGAATGGGGAAAATGCCAATGTTAGACCAGTGACTTAGAGCTGAATTTAAGTTGGTGGAAGATGAACAGGATTTTCTGCCGGATTAAAAGGGGAGGACGGCGTTTTTGCTGTGTTCAAGTTTATTGATTTATTTTGTAAGCAAATCTGGCTAAATCTACTGTAGCCTGAGTATTGGTCAGCTTAATCATGAGGTTAGATACAGCAATCAAATGAACAAGTTGTTCTTGCTCTTATCGAGTCAAATCTATACAGTGCACTGTGTGATTGGCATGGAAGTTTTAAAACATCCTACATGTTCTTTCATACATTTTGGCAACTTCTGCACCTACAGTAGCTGTATTCCAAATCATAGTGGGCTGTATTCACAATGGGCAACTAGAGGAGTGGCAATAGTTTCTTAATCATTTAGAAGCTAGACGCTCAAAGGTAATAACAACAGAATGTATTAAAGAAGAAAGAACAGCAAGGTGATTATTTACAGCAACTTTTAAAATTGTTTGGAATTGAAATTCTTCCTCATTTATGAAACATGTACCCTCCCTTATTTCCTCTCAAGTTAATATGGTACTTTTAGTTATAAATTTGTGTGTGATTCTTGAACATGGCTGGGAGATAGAAAAGGTAAGTTGTGTAAGACTGCTCTACGTGTTTTGTCAAGTTCCCAACCTGTAGCTGGCTGCAAGCCAAGGCTTTGAGGAAAAGTAAGAATTGTCCATTGAGTTTGCTACACTGGAGTCTGTCCTTGGTTGCACCTGGTTTCTGTTTTGAAGCAGTTCAGCATCTTGAGTGAGAGGTGATGTAACTGAAATGCGAGAACGGGAGCTCCTCTGCAGTAATGCACAGGCAACACCCTGACGGAGCCCTGGTGCAATTGTAGCAGTCCCAAAGTAACTTTAACTGCTTTTTATCTACTTCATGGAACGTGATTAGTAGGTTCAAACCTTGAATTTTGCATGACTGCCTTCTTTTGGAACATCTGTAATCCACTGGCCTCTCGAATACACCATCCTGTTTATATTTAATTTTGTGCTCATTGTGTTCATGCTGCAGTCAATGCAGTTCCTTCTGCAACTACGCTACAGCTTGTGTATAAGTCTCTGAAGGGTAAAGGCATGTTTTTTAATCTTATGCTGACTCTTTCAGTGCAGAGACTCACCAAGGAAGAAAACTGATATTAATGGTGTCACTAAAAATACAGGTTTTACAACATCCTTAAAAAATGCATCAGTGGAATAATCAGCAGCACCCATGCTCGTAGTGATGCGTACGCAGTTAAGTGCCCAGACAAATGAATTGACATTTTCTTTGTCGTATTGTAGTTACTGCAATTGTCAGTCATCAGTGGAACAGCAAAGAGAAAGTCTAATTGAAGTAATTCCTTAATGTCACAGTGAGATTGCAGCCAATTTGTGCTGGAAATAATTTTGTATGCTCCTGGGTACTTTAAAATCTAGAAAACAAATGGAACTGTTTTAGGCAATGCTACTTAAAAAGATCTGTATTTATTGGCACCAGATGTTTATTTCATCACTCAAATACCTGGTTCTAATTCTGCTCACGAAATAAAAGTAATGTAAGCATTGAGCAGTGGTTCAACGTGAAAGCTGACGTGGCAGGAGCTGCTGTATAAAGATACAGTTTTAGTGCAACCAGGTCACAAACTTACAGGTGAGTGAGAGTATGTGTCTGTTTGCATTTTATTGCAAAGGAGCACACTGGGAAAAAAAAACAGTGTTTAGATTGAAATACTCAAAAAGATTCACAAGGCATGTTTTACATGCTGAACTTGTGCAACAATGGGTTTTATAGCTCACTCTATTAGCAGCTTTTCCAGGAAAGCAATCATCAATGATGCTGGAAAGAGCCACTCCTAAATAACAGGTCTCAAAGACAGCAGTTACGAGGACATTTTTCTGTCTCTCCTACTCTTTATTCACTTTTCACTGAGGCGTTCAGCATGTGCAGCTGGTCATTTGGAAGTAGTCGTGCTTGAACATTGCTCTTCCTGGATTCTCAGCACTCACCACAGAAAAGAAAGCATCGGCTTTGGTCCTTTTGCAAGCCCCTGTGCAGTACTTCAAGCAGATTGAAATCTGGATGATGGGTTGTAAAAGTAGTGAAGTACACGAGGAGGTTTTCACAGTGACAGGCGATTTTGTCTCTATTAAGTTTCAGTTAATTGATGTGACTGACTTGTTAGGATGTCAGGTTTCTTCAAACCAACCTTTGAAGGGGGCAGGACACAACCACAGCTCACACGCTACTTGTGTTTTATGGCTCGCATCCACTTTCCTGTAAACTCTGTGTGCTTCACCTTCCAGTCTGAAGCTGAGTCAGGAGGAAAGAAGGCACAAAAGAAGGAGGCAGAGGCTGCTAAGCGACTGGTGCTTACTGATCACGTCCACCTGCCTCTTCAAGTCAGCTCAGATCATAAAATGGCGGAGACAAATAATTACTTGCCAAACTGTACCAACCTTCTTGAGTTGGTACTGCAGTACACTGTTTTGCTTTCTCTTTGTGAATATACCACATTAGAGTTCAATTCCACAACATATGTTATATGCAAAGAAATGAAACAGGACTGTCATAATTAGAAAACATTTTTGATGGATTATTTAGTTAAACTATGTATTTTGCTACAGGACCTTCCTATTTTGCAATATGCTGCTATTTTCTGTGAAAGAAAACAAGCAGAGCTTTGTAAGACTAACAGTAAACAATTTCAATACGTGCTGCTGAAGCATTCGGAAAAGATTACTGAAATTACAAATAGTTTTCAAAAATGACTGCGTCCTCTAGCAAGGGTTTTGTTCTGCAGCTAGTAGCATGTGTTAATGGCAAGGGTTTTAACCAAAAGCAGACGGTTCCTTCTGCTAGGGTTGTGCAAAGCTAGCAACATGCAATAGGATGCTTTGCACTTATAGCTTGTGGCACAGTGCAGTGACTGTAAGTAATGAGAATAAAATTGTAGAGACCTACTCCAGTCTGTTGGCTCTCCCTTTAAGCAAGAGGACAGAAGCTGGTGCCCACAGTTTCCTGCTTGCTCAGTCCATTTTATTCTCTTCTGAGTTGCAGACGCCTCCTTCCTTCTCTCTTCCAGCTCTGCTCAGGGAGGATGGGAGACCACAGTCTAACTAGAGTACTAAGTACTTCAACGATTAAAAAAAAAAGAATTGACATCTCTGAAACTGAAGTGTTGAAGAGAAGCCATCCTCTGTATCTGAGATGCAGCACCAGAAGGACATCTCTTCTGGGTGCTCAGAACACTTGACAGTGTTCTTTTTTCATTTCTCTTAACGTGTTCAGGGTCTGTTTGAAGTAAAGTAGCAATCCTTTTAAAAAAAAAAAAAAAAAAAAAAAAGCATGGCATTGTATCATCTTTTGAAAGGAAGTTCTGCATGATCAGCACTTCTGCATTAAGAAAACCAACTGAGAGATTCATTGTTAACTCCTGAAGTGCTTGGTCTCAGCTCTACTTTTCAAAGAAGCAAAGACAAGTTCATTCTTAACTCCAGCAATAGCTTGGCTTTTAGTTATATATATATATTTTTTTCTTATGTAGCATTTAAATTATATGACACTTACTTTACATTCCTAGAAGCTGTCAGTAGATCTGTTTCTGGAGACCTGCTAGGACATACTGCAGTCAGCAGCATAAGCTGAAGGCTATGAGCTCCAGGAACAAGCTAAATTTTAAGTTAGCCTCTGTTGGCTGGCACCACTGGTCTTGTCTACATTAATGTTTTAAAATGATGGGTAGCTAAAAATGTTTAAATAAGTCACGCTCCTTTGGATAGTCTGCCCTGTGCTCAACTGCCTGAGGTTCCCCCTTCATTACCCTCCACCCTAAACAGATTTAGGTATTCATCGGCGAAGCAGCAATTAGTTACAGAAGTCTATAGCTGTCTTCAAGTCACACCGCTCACCCATTGTTTTCTCTTTCTGCCTGTTTGGCCTCAGGTCTTGCCAGAAGTCGTAGTTCCAAGCAGGTATTTCCATACACCAGCACGCGTGCACACAAATCTGCTGGCAAGTCAAATTATGTTTCTGGACTAAAACACCCACACATGTATAATCAGTCCTTCTGGGCCAACGTAGCAGGTCCCAGTGTCTGAATTTGCCTGCGTAGTAGTAGCTGGCATTCCAGCATTATCACTTACTGTAGCCTCAGCCCTGGAAGCACTGTTACGCTCATTTGCAGTGCTATTAAAAATCCACCGGCCCCAAACAGCTGAGAAGGCTGAGGGGTACCAAGAGCTGCAGAAGTGAACATGCTGCTGGGTTACAGGCATTACTCAGGAGTTTGTCTGGTGCTGTTCCTGGCACTAGGGGCACAGGCTGCTGTGACAGGAGGGTGTGTAGGGGGGCTGAGAGTGTGCACATGTACATATAGGATCAGACTGGTGCTGCTGACCTTATTCCAGCTGCTCCCTCAATAGCCACACTTTGCCTCTGTTTGAGGCAGCCACTCCTGCAAAATTCAGCCCTTAGTGGGAGCAGGGAAATCCCTGCTCTTTGACACTTTGTTCCAGGTACTCCATCAGCCTCTGTTCTGGCACCCACCCAGGTCCTCATTTCTCTGCTCCCTGGCTTCTGTGTTCACCGTGATTTCCACAGATGTGCTGCAGCCTCCCTTTGCAGACTCTCCCTCATCAACTGCAACGCTCAGCTGTGTCCCCCGAACTGCTATATTCAAAGAGTCCACGTGAAGACAACGTAACAGCAGAGATGATCACTTCTGGAGGTATCGAGGCATGTATTGCTGGGAGCTGTTGCTGGCTGTAATGAAAATGTTTCTAAGCATTAAGTGTTTACTATACAAAATTCCTAGAGCTGTCTCTTAACACTGTAAGGCTGAGGTGTATTCCCAATGTGTACTTCCAGTTCCTCAGTGCTCTTAACTTTCTCTGTGGACTTTGTCAATACAAGGACCCTGGAGGCTAGCTTGGTGCTACAGCCACAGCAGACACGCAAGTGGTGTTTCAGAGTTACCTCCACAGGTACTGACAGCCCATCCACCGAGCCTCCAAGCATGTTTTTGTCATTTTGTTCTGCCTGTTGTTATCCCAATGTTGTTATTCTGCAGACAAAACATAAAGCTTGCACTCATTTTCCAAGCAATACTCCAGGTCTATCATGTGAATATAGAATTACAGCCACGTGGTTGATACCGTGGGTTTGTTTGGTTTCTTTACATCAAGTTTCCTAAAAACAATTCCTGGCTGCCACAGCTACTGGAACAGGCAGATTTGATTGATGTAGAAACCACGGGGCACGCAGACCAAGTCCAAAGCATTATGTAAGTCAGAACCAGCTCCTTGCCCGTGCCCGTCTCAGCCTGGTGATGAAGGTAAAGCCAACCACACTGCCTCAGCTGCGTCCATGCACGAACTGCCCTAGCCCCACGGCTGCAGCAGAGCTCTGTGCTCTCACCCCAGGCTCTGCAAGACCGCAGGACTCACCAAACTGAGCAGCCACACGTCCCTGAAGTGATCAAGTTGTGTATCGTACCTGCTCTTTCTAACCATATTTGTCGTGCAAAACAATAAAATTGTTTATAAAGAGACACGATGTATTAAAGCCGGTGCTGGTCTGTGCTTGGATGGCTTGTTCCGAGCAGCCTTTGCCCCTAGCAGGAAGGCAGGGAGGAGAGGAGCAGCCTGTGGCACCCACACCACTCGTGGGGATGGAAACAACTGCATGCAGCCCGCAGGGCAGGGAGGTTAAGGCAGCACCGGCAGCCCGACCCTTGTTGTCCTTATTTTTATGGCTTTCTTGCTGTAATTCTAATAAGATAAAAAAAAAAAAAAAAAAGTTTGAGAGGGCTTAACTGTGAGCTACTTTTTGTGCGTACTGCCTAACACCATCACCAGATAACTGCTGCTCCAGAGCCTATGAGAAGATGGAAGAATTAGCCCTAGAATGGCTAATTTTTACCCTCTGTTTTTAAAGCCCATAAATAAGGGTTTGGGACTAAGACGCTCCCAGGACAGGCTCACTCGCGTACCCAAGCATTACTTATCTCAGAGATGACAGGCTGTGCAACCTTCACCTGCAGACAGCTCAGCAATTTGTTCGTGTAACTCAGCAAGGATAGAGAAGTGGTACTCGGCTCTGAAGTATCCATTTATCCCCAGCTCATTTAAATGTGGAAGCCACCTCTGATAAGGAGGCAGAGTCCAAGCTCCCCACACACAAGAACCATGCTCCACTAGTGCACTTGTGCACACTGAATGTGGCAAACCAGAAAAGAGCTGGCATCCCCAGTGGGATCAGCACACAGGTTGTACCCCCTTCCAACATCATCCCCCCAGGCAAGTGGCAGCTCAGCACAGCCAAAGGGGATGCGTGACTTGGAGGGGAATATCCTCTTGGTATGTAATAAGGGCTACATTTGGCTCATTTGGCTGCTTTTTAGGGTTAGCACTCACCAGCCTCCCTTCAAAACCAGGCTGTGGGCAGAACTTGATTCTGGGAGCTGATGGTGCCCACCTTGTAACCTTGTGGGCACAGAGCTTGCAGAATCAGCAGATCTCTCCATCACGTTGCTCTCTCCTGTGTGCTCAGGATGAGCCCTGGGCCCCGTTATTTCACAGGTCACACTTGGCCAGTCCAAGCACAGGGTGGTGCTGTGCAATGCCTGATGTAGGGCCCAACACAGGACACAATTTAACTGCTCCGGGCTGAGCTAACGCTTTGGCTCAGTACCCAATTTTCACAAGACATGGAAAACAGACGTGTAAGATTAGTAAAAGGACGCAACGCTAGCCAGGGTGACTGTGCACTACACCAACTTCTTACAATTTAAGTTTCCTAAGCCTAGCTGAAGTTCCATTCTCTTTCTCGCACTAAGATGCTGTTCGATTTTGTTTGGGATGTTGTAGATGCGGCTGTTTCCTCCTGAGGCATTTGCCCTTTGGGAAAGGGATCAGAGCATGCAATCCTATTTGTAAAGCACCGAAATACACGTAAAAAGTGTTAAATACAGACTATTGAGAGGTCATCTGTCAGTGTTAACTTCAGAATTTCATAAAGAACCTTTTCTGTCAGAAATAAGCTGCCCGCACGTAGGAGAAAGGGTCACACATTTATTTTACCCAGTATAAGTAAAGCCAGTATGTGGCTCCTGGAAGGGAACATGAACAAAGTAAACCCAGGAGCTGAAGGTCAGGGTTTAAAGGAATTTCCTTTCATTTAAGTTTTAGCAGCCTTGAAAGCAGAAATTCTCCTCCAGCTCCCATGGCTACCTCCTCCCCAGGCCAGGTCCTTGGCAGCAGCCCAGTTTCATGTCTATATTTATCTAGTGATTGATGGATGTTTATCGAGCTGCAGCATTTAGGGCTGAGAAGTGAAGCTGAGAAGCAAGGGATGTATCAAAGGAGTATGAAGACCTAGGTATCTGGCTGAAATGCAACTTGCTTCCAGATAAATCAGCAGCTCCTACTTTCTGACCATTAAGATTCCTTCCCTTTCCATTGGTATTTTAAAAAACCTCTCTGGAAATGCTGCAACATCAGGGAAACTGCACAAAGGCTTGTAAATTTCTGGGCTGCTAGTGAAAGCTTCAAGAAAAACGCCCCACCACTGCTTTCAAATGAGCACTACAGGTACACCAAGAAGCTCCCAATCTCTGAACCAAAACACGTTCTAGTTTGTCAGGCTCTAAAATACGCCTAAAGAGAGAAAAAACATAGCAGTCAATATCAAAGCCACCAAAAGCTGAGGTTTTCCACTCATCGCTTTGTCCTTGTGGAAAAAGAGAGGATCTCTGACTCTTCTGCTGGAGACTCCCTGCCCGTGTCTCTGCTCTCTCTTCCCTCCACAAGGTTTTCCTAACTGCTATTTTATTTTATTTTTTCCTCTGAGGGAAGTACAGGGTTCTCCTCCTTCCCCACGGCTTCACCTGAGCGCAGCTACGGCAGGATAAGCGGGCAGCTCTCCCTCACTGCTCCTCTGCTACAGCACACAGCGCTTAAAACAAACCGGACAGAGCAAGCAGCTATTCCCTGGCTTACACAGAGCCATCCAGCTGGTGCTGTTTGCATGTAACAAAGAAACAAAACCAAGAATTGTCCTAGCACAGCTCAGCTGATGGGCCCCAATTCTGCAGTACTACAGCACACCCAAGACGATGAATTTCCTTCATCCAAGGGTAAGCAAAAAGCAAACTGAACAGAAGACCTGGGAATGAGGGCCAGCTAAGTCTAATTCAAAGCGTGTTAAACTTTCATTTTTGTTGCAGATTTGATGCACCCACAACGGCTCTGTGAGATGCCTCTGTGGTGTCTCTGTGATCCCACAACGGCTTCTCCTGCTATGGGATGTAAGCAGGACACAGCTGGGCAGGGATCAGAGGGAGATGGTTTGTGCCACAGCTCCAGGGGGGTTGTTTCATTTTAAAATGAGACGTGTGAACCTGTAATCAAAATGTTTTTGATTTACTCCCTTTGTAGTGCTTCCCTTCCCAGCTGCCAGCTCGCTTCATACCTGTAAGCTTTGAGGATGCTCACGAGTGCTGGAGGAAATGGCTGCACCAGCAGTTGTGGGGCCGCTCGCTGCTCACGGACACATCCAATTAGTTAGCACGGGGCTGGCCTCAGCGCCTGATTTGTTTCATCTCTGTCTCCTCCAATACGTGGCTGCAGAGATCAGAATGCCAGCAACAGGCTCTCCAAGCCAATCAATGATGCCAGGCACTGAACCCTGCAGGTGAAGCTGTAAGAAATGCCTTTTGAACTGCAAAAATAGATTTTTGGGGGTAATTACAGCTGTGCTGCACCCCTCTACCTCCACCTCTCCACCAACCAAAGATTGGGTGAGGCTGTTTTTCTCTCATTTGGGATCATTTCACTGACTTTACCAAACAGGCCCCCAGCCTCCTGCATTATCTTCGTGATCACTGTGTATTTTGAGAGGAAAGTAACGCAGGTCCTTTGGTACAGCACATCTGTAGAAATGCAGACTCAGACTGCATATCAGTGGGAAAATAACAAAGCCATTTGGCAGGGGACCTAAATTCCACATTTAGGTGCCATGAGAGTCTCAAGATCCCCATTCAAATACCAGGAGTCTACTTGCAAGTGCAGAAACCTCCCTTTGTAATGCATGGACAGCCTTGCTTGGACCAGAGATCGCACCAAGTGTGAAGGCGCTTCATAATCAGCTGTTGCAGAGAAATTAATGCAGCTAGCACATATTTCTCAGTGGTAGCTGAGCTGTCCTACAATGTTTACGCCATTTTTCCCTCCCTGTTCCAAGTGCATAACAGTATTTTACCCTCAGTAATACAAAGGGAAGGTCAGATTAATTAATAGTGAAAGAAAAAAAAAAAAGTTTTATCCTGTATAGGAGGAGAGCAAGGACTGCACAGATTAGGCAGCCCATTATGTTCTTTTTTTTCCTTAGCTTTTAAGAGGCAGAAAAACACTGAAATGTCATCAGAAGCATTGGGTGTGAGTCTGTACAGACACACCAAGTCGAAATGCAACCAAGAAGCATAAAAACCCCATACAAAACTTTGGTACCCAACAACACCAGGCATCAGTACATCTCATTATCAAAACGCTACAAAAATCAACATGTTCACCCCACTGCTGAAATTTCACTGCTCACTTCTCTCACAATTTTGACTACGTAGCCAGCCCACGAAGAATTTGCTGTTACAGAAAGAAAACCATGACCACAAGGATCCCTTTCCTCCTGCTGAGTTTCCTACACTTAGGTAAACAAAGTCCAACCATCTTCACCCAGAAAACCCCTCAATGTGTGGATTAAAGACAGATTAATCGCTACCCTCCCTCCATCCAGACCACGAGTGTGAGTGATTGAGCTACCAGGGCACACAGCAGATCACAGCTCGTCAGCTGAGCACAGTAGCCAAGGCCACGTGTGCTTTTAGCCCATCACAAGTGCAAAGTAAAACCATTTTCATGTTGGTTTAAGCAAAAACCTTGTGCTCTAAGTTACCATTTATCACCAGCGCCTCAGTAACACTTCAGATGCATTCCCCTCGTCTTGCAAATATAGCCCTTCACACGCTGCGCCTCAAACACTTGTTACCATATGAACATAGATTTAGGGAGGCAGCGCTGAAGTTGTTTACATGGAAATCTGAAGAGTTTGAGCAGAATAAGAATCTCAGTGCCTTGGGACGTTTAAACTGCAGCACAGACTGGATGCAGCGTTCACGCCACGCGTGAGTGATGGCAATTCCAGCAGGACAACGTCCCCTGCTATCACACCAAGGTAATGAGTCAGTCCTTGAAGAGAGAGGAATGCCACCTCCTCTGCCAGTGACAGCAACAAAAAAAACACCTCGCAGCACCTAAATTTTCTTGAGCATTCTCCTGCCTAAGAACTGACCGAGCCTGAACCTGTGTTCCCTCACAGAAGTTGGGAGAACCGCAGCCCGCAGCAGCCTGCCTGCAGGCCAGTAAAGTGCTGCTTTGTGTCTGTTTGTTTTTCCCCAACCTGTCTGATAGCCTTTGAGCTGGATGCTCAGCTTCAGTGACACCTTCAGGGAGAGCAGCAGCTACGAGGTATTGCACGGATTACTGCAACAGACTAGGACCAAACCTGCATCAGAGCTACACGGGTGTTACAGCCCAGCGCGGAGGTGCGGGCTGGGATAGATAAACAAGACATGTAAAAGAAACACACCGAAGGAAGTGCATACAGTCTAGGCCTGCACAAAGATCTCTGTGGGTTTGTTCTGCTGGGTGGAGGGTGGCAGAAGCAGCTTGACACATACCTCAGAAACATCCAGGATCCAGGAGTCCTGACCTGCTTACAGGGCAGAGGCTGTCGTGAGGGTTTTGTTCCGGACACAGCTGCTTGTAGTCTGCAGACAGCTGCACTTCCAACATTACAGGCTTCTGCTCATCTGTGCTGTCACATCAGGGATGACCTGGGCCTGTCCATGCTGCCAAAGGGAGCCAGGCATTAGAGGCACTCTACTCTAAAGGCAGACCACTGTCTAGACATGGACAATGAAGCAAATTCTGCCTCTGCTTTACTAAGAGCAGCCAGGAGACTGGAGGAAAAATGAGAAAAACAGGTGAGATCACAAGCTGAAACAAGATAACAGGGGTCTACTCCAACATAAGCTGCATAGGGGTGTCACCCACACTCAGCTCTTGCAGGTGTGCTCATCAGCTGGGGGCAATCCGAGGTGCAATTGCTGCCCTTTATGAGGTTAGAGCACAACATGCACATGTGCATCTCAGGAGTGGAGCTGGTTTCAGAATAAAGCAAACAGTTTTGCTGTAGATGCTCCTCAGCTTTTGCATTAGTACAAAGAATGAAAGGGTAAACCTGAACAAGAAGGCTTATACATCACTGCACAGCCTAAATTTGCCAGACACTGCTTCCTAAAACTGCCTCTTCAGTTGCTGAATCACCAGAGCTGCTCTCTCCACACCTGCTGCAATTTAGTGTCTGACCAGAGGTGACTGGGCTGTATGCAATATTCTGTATGTGTCAATGTAGTCTCAGCGCTTCCCTTCTGCTGAAAAATCCTTTATGTCTGGGAAAAAAGGACACCACAAAGCAGCTTTAAACAGGAATACAATATTGAGATCGTCCCATGGCCCAGATACTGCAAGCTGCCCTAATACCCGCTATCCACGTTCAGTTTGTTGGCCGTTCTCTTAGGGCAAGGAGCTGGCTACTCTGTGCTCCTCTTTTCCTCAACCCACTGCTTCCATTTTCATTGCTACCACACAGAAAGCAATGGCCTTCACTCCTTCACGGTTCAGTTACCTCCACCCTACAATTTTTTCCTCCTAATACTGAGGCAAACCTTATCACTCCTCAAGCCAAGTGTGCCTTAGGCAGACATTTCCTCAGATCTTGCCTTCACTGCACTGCCCAGAGGACGCAGGACAACAGCCGGACCGACCATGCTGTTCCAACACTGGGCAATTTCCTTTTTTTTTTTTTTTTAATTTTCTTTTCTTTCTCCTGTTCTTGTGTTCCTCCAGTCTCTTGCAGCCCACTCCTATTTTTCTCTCTTTATAATTGTTCAAAGGTCTTTGGGATGGGGCTTAGCTTTTCATTATGTACACAGTAAAGTCTTCAATCTGATGCGATGATACAAATTAATAACAATAGCTACAGAACGGTGGTAATACCCTGCAGTTGTGATGGGCATGCTGGAAAGATTACTTGATGTTTATAAAGCTCTTTGAGACTCTTGGATGAAAGTCAAGCTAGTGATGCACAGGATTTATTATTCTATTCAGCACTTCAGTATCCAAGGCTAGCATCTATTCTAGTTGAAAAAGATTTTTACTGTATTGTAAAATGGAAACAAAATGAAATATATACAGCGCCTGGTGCTTTATATATAAGGCACAGGCAGCACGGAAACAGAATCTCATTATTGAAATGGATGTAGCTGAAGCTGTTACGCACAGTAGGTAAAAGACCAGATTCAATGACCTCTTATTCCATTTAATCAAAATTGTTAGTATATGGTTTTCCAATGGCCAACACAAAAAAGTGGTGTGTTTTTTTTTTTTTTTCCCCTCTTCATCAGGTATTTCAACAGTTTGTAATAAGCCTTTGTAGCTGCTTATGATGTGAATCTTAGGCAGACTTGACCAGCGGTGAAATGAAAATAAAGTGGATGTGTGTCTAACAAACAAAACCACAGCTCCTCTGTAACACCCCGTGCACTTAACCACCACATCTTAACCATTCAGCGAGGCTGCTCTCCCTCTTTCCCTTCCCCACCACAAGCTTTTGTTCACTTCACAGCCTCCCCCACTGCTCTATTTAGATGCGGGTCCCCAGAAAGTTCCCCCCTCCAGTTCTGCACTCGCAGAGCACAGAGGGGAGACGATGCTGTTTTAATGGTGCTAGTTATGCTATATGTGGTCTTGCTGTTTCTAGGAATAGACATGTTCAGACATCAATTAACATCTAATTGCTGGAATTAATCTTGTTCCTCCGCTACAGATGCCACAGAGATCAAACCAAGCCCATTTGCAGCTCTATTTTTAATTTAGTGGAATGACAGATTTTCCATCCAGTGAAAAATAATTAAGTGACATGCTGTCCAGAGAGTACACAGTTCAGGGAGCAGGATGTTTATTAAGAAATGAAACAAGCAGGAAGAGATCATAATTGTTTGTGTCAAAGCAAAAGCATCTTTGTTACTGCAAGTCTTTCCTCTTCTTCAAACCTTCTCACCAGTATTTCTCCTCACTCCTTCCTGCTTGAGTGATCCCCACAGAGACAGCGAGGCTCACGAGAGTAGCTTGGGAAGGAACTGAACTTGTCACCCTGGCAGACATCCCCTAATTCTCAGGGCCAGCTTGTGCATAAGATGAAAAAAAAAAAAAAAAAAAAAGGCCTGGAGAGTAGATAAAACAAGGAAGTGGAGAGAAGGGATGAAAAAACAATATATCAAGATATCAAGCAAAATATTTTTCCAGCACTCCCTTGAAGCAGCATGACACATCCCATCCTCTTTATTACCTGCTGAAGAGAGAAGTTGCAGGCCCCAGATAAGGCTTTGTACTGTATTTTGCAAGCCTTTGTGCTGAATGAAGCCAAGCAGCCTTCAGCAGACGGCTCCCAGTCTTAAGCTTCTGCTCCAGTTCCGTATGTACATGGCAAGGAAGACTTGAGCCTGGCTGGTGAAGTCAGTGTGGAAACAGGCTGGAGCATTCAGCAGGAGAAAGCTGAATCCTTTACAGTACGAGCGAGCCTGCAGCAGGTCCAGGACAGAAAGCTGTCTGAGCATGAGCCTCTTACAGGGCTGTGTGAGATAGCCTAAGAAAGCCGAAGCAGGCGTTCTGCCCACTTACAACACCAACTAGTGAACCACATTTCTTACTGTATCAAAAGGCACTGTGATACTTCCTCCAGTTTTCAGAAAGATCTGAACCCCTGCTTCCCTCTTCCTGTCCCAGCTGTAGCAACATCTTGCTGGTAAGCAGGTCCTGAAACAGAGGAGAGATCTGCCCCCTGCCTGGAGGAGCATCAGCTGTCAGAGCTGGACACGGTGGAAGAGGCTGAGGACACATCAGTGAAGCACCCACAGCAGACAGCAGGGTTTCCCAAGAAGCATGGAAGAACAGTAGGGTGTGGGGAGGGAAGGGGATCTAAAAGAGTCCCTGATTTGCACTGGTTTAGGGCATCCTTTGTGGGGGAAGGTCAACTGGCATGACATACAGCTTCACTCATTTCCAGTTTGTGTCAATCCAATTGCTCTCTTGGTTCTTCAGCACCAGTGACTAGATCAGAGTTGATCTCACCCAAGTCCACCAGCCCCTTGCTTCTGTTTTTGTCATTTTTGAAATACAGCATACCCTGTAACAAAAACCACCAAACCCCACCTTTTGCTCCCTCCTTCTTGCTGTGTAGAACATTCCCCCTTCAATGCCTTCATAACAGCTCAAACTCCTTCCAGATATGCAGCTCAAGGAAAAGGTGCATGTGTGAAGCTTTCTGATACCTTTACAGTAGGTTACTCCCTTTGTGAGGAGCCCATTTGGAGTGAATGAGCACCAGCCAGCTCTGCACCCAAAGAAATTGCAGAAATTTCCAAGAAATGAAGAGTGGTGGAAGAGCACTGCCATTCAATCTGCTCTCACAGGCTTTCAAATCCCACTCTCTTGCTTTAAAAGGGGAGTGGTGCCCAGAGCTTTGGCAACCAGACCCATCCTTCCCACACTCTGTGGCTGTCCTAAGGGTGATAAGTGTTGGTGGAGACTTGACACACTTGATTCAAGAAACTCCTGGTTGCTGTAGAAAGGGAAGATGCTCAAAATGAGACTCAGTTTGATAAGACTTTCCTAGGAATAGTTCACAGTTATACATAGTTATATGTGGGTGAAAGAGAGAAGCAGGCTGTTTGTAGCAATCTGCAGTAAGAAGTAAGACAACAAAACCAAACCCATTTCTTCAATGTGCATCATTAGTTACTTAATTTACATTCCTGCCAAGCAGCAATAAATATCCTTCTGCTGCTTCCCATTCCCCCCCCTGCAACCTTTCCATTAGGAGCTCAGCTGGAGGCAGGGAGGGAGAGGAGAGGAACAGAGAACCTATGGCATAAACCAAGTCTTATTTCTTAAAATACTGATACATAATTCTGCCAACACATGTCAATCCTGACTTATAACCTCTGTGCCCCCTGCGGTCCTTAATCATCTATGACAGTGCAGCTCCAAACCACAAACACAAGCTCACAACCAATTTGACTTGTTTGCCACTACTTCTGCTTACCTTAGTCCCGGAGTTTTCTGCTATCCCTCCCAATAGTAGCCTGCCAAATTATTCCTCTGGCTGCTAGGATCAATACCATGATGATACAGGACTTTTCTGAAGCAAAATAAAATTGTATGACCATTGGGAGAGCTGAACGAGTCTATTCCATACTGTTTCAGTCTACTCTACGGTGAATATGCTTTCTTTAAGAGACTGACACTGCAATATGACAAGAATGTAAAGAAAATTGAACCCTTCCCAGCACAAAGGCCTTAACACCCCGTCCAGCTGAAAGCCCCACAGAACACAGCAAGCAAAGACTTTCCAACTGGGTGGCAATTACATCATTTGCAAATTATTTTCTGGTAAGGAAAAGCATTTGCCATCACACCTTGGAAATATATCCTATGGTGTGGAAGAAAAGAAAATGCAGAATTGAAACTTGCAAATAAGGAAATTAGCTTTAATGTAATTCCTCTGCATAGAAACAGTACTTAGAAAAGTAAGACATGCTCAAACACAAACACACTCACATTCAGAGATCTCCTTTCTTCACACATCTCAAAGGCAGAGACAGAGATACTGAGACCCAGGAGCAATCAGCTTCCTTCTGCAGGGTGCCAGCTACAGACCCCAGCTCAACAGTAACAAACAGCTACAATTAGGGCAGTTCAAACATGAGGAAAGAATTCAGATTGCAAAGCACAACAGAGGTTTGGGGAGCATACCACAAGTACAGAAGTAATGCCAAAAGACACCAGCAGACCCTGCATTAGATTTTGAAGTCACTTTACACATCATTTGTAAATAACAACCATGATTTTACTAAGTAGAAGAAAGGGTACATAGATGAAAGAATGCAGTATCCAGTTTCTGCCTTTTATATTGCTGCAAAGCAAACTGAAACGTCACTTACATTGCTGCCTCAGTTTCCCATCTACATTAATGATGATACTAACATTCAGACACTTAAAAAAAATATTTACTATCTTGGTTTGACAAATGCAACACTAATTGTGTTTATCCATGCTAGTCACTTCTATCATACTCATTAGCTCTACTTGAGGACATCACAGCTTTATTAGAGACACCCAAACTGCTTCATAAATTTCAATTACCTAGTACAAATCATTACTACTATTTTATTAACTACTTGTGTAATTGCCTGTTGTGTATGCAATTACAAAGTTAATATATGTAAATCCCACTTTAGAAGCTCTTTCTGTACCTTTTATCTTCATACCTAGCATGTTCATGCTTACATATTTTTTTTTTCATTAGCTTCTTCATCATCCAGAAATTTTCTCAGTACTTAAGCATACTGGTGTGATTTTAGACATTGAACTATATTTTTGTTGGTGATATTGCTTACTTCCAAAGCAGCCATTTGAGTTTCTGAAGTATAGATATATATTCATCTTGCCGTTTAGATGTATATAGAAACATTTACCAAAAAAAAAATATTGAAAAAGAGGATCTTCTTTTTTTTTTTTTTTCAAGAGGGGGAGAAAAAGAAGTCACCAAGCTGAGTCTTGGGCATAACTAAGGTATTGAGATCTCAAGTACAAAAAGCCTTGACTCAGCTGGTGTGTGTTGATACAAGGGTCTCCTCTCACAGAACACCTGAGGACTTAAAACGTGCACCTAGGGAAGGCAGCATTTGGTACTGAGCACTACTCCAAGGACCATTAGTAATTGGAAAAATGCCTCTGCAGTTCCTGAGGCAGGGATCAGAACTCTGGACTCCCAGGCTGTCTGAGTACTTCATGCAGGAGCCAAATTTCCTTTTCCCATGTGTTATTTTCTGCATGAAGACATAGGTAGCAAGTACTGCAGTTCTTTCCCAGTAAGCTACAGGCTTACTTCTGGGAACAGCAACAGATCTGACTTCGGGAGTCATGAGCTTGCAAAGCAAATGATCTCTCACTTACTGCAGACCTTCTCTAACAAGGTGTTACATACCACAGTGACACCTCCATCTCCTCTCCCCAGTGATGATACATAAAGGAAAAACTAAGAGCTCTCTTCTCTTTGCAGGCACCTCTGCTCAGTAAAGAGTTCCAGACCACATCCCAAGTGTGTGAAGGTGCCTTTCTGTGCTAAACACCCAAACTCCAGAGAGAGCCGGGATGGCTGCCATACCTTTCTGCTCAGTGTTTTCTCCTGGGCAGGCCCGTCCTGTGCCCAACGCAACATCCTGGCATTCGCTGTGCCACAGCTAGCTCTAAGGTCTTTTCTAACCTTAATGTTTCTGTGATTCTGTGATTCCTACGCCTCACTCAAGGAGAGCAAGCAGGAGCTGATCCAGGCTCCAGACTCGGCTCCAAGAGCAGGTGATTAAAATTAAAGCTTTCTGACATTTGAAGTGCCGCACTTCATTGTGATGAATTGTTTTCGGTATCTAACTCTTCGAAACTGACATAATGAAGCTGCACTTGCCTTCCTCAAAAATTAACAAGCACCTGAAGGCAAACACAGCAAGTTAATTAAGAAAAAAAAAAAAGTTTTTGGGGAAAAAAAAAGTGCAAAACTAAATTGATGGAAAGCAGAAAACATCTGTAGGAGCTATGAAGGCATTTCAAACCACAATAAGAGGGGAAAGGGTGGGCAGGTCCCGTAGAGACCCCAGCCTTTCCTAGAGCGTGGTGTAAAGGACGAGAGCAGCACTTTGGGGCCGAGACACCTGGCAGAGCCCGAGAGCTGCCCCACGCGTTAGGGTCGCAGAATGGCAGAGTGGTTTGGGTTGGAAGGGACCTTAAAGACCACCTGGTTCCAGCCCCCTGCTATAGGCAGGGACCCCCTGCCACTAGAGCAGGCTGCCCCCAGCCCTCTCCAGCCTCGCAGCCCCGCAGTGAGGGCAGCCCGGCGGTCTCCGGCTCCCCCTGCCGGGGCCGCGCCGCCGCCATCCCGCTGCCTTCCCTCAGGCCCCGCGGCCGCCGCCGCCATGACGGGCGCGGCCCCAGCCCCGGGCAGCTCCCGGCTCCTTCAGCGGAGGGGACCCGGGGCAGCGGCCAGGAGCCCGCTGTTGGCGGAGGGAGGAAGAGGGGAGGCGGCAGGCAAAGCTCATGGGGCCGGAGGGAGCCCTTGGAAGGGACGGGGAAGCCGGCATGAGGATGGGCGTGCAGGCTGCTGCTGGCTTGGGGTGCCCCGAGGCAGAGGGGTCGGAGCCCCGGCTGGGTGCAGAGCTGCCCCCGGGTCGCTCGACATAGTGCCGGGGGATTTCCAGGCATTTCTCGGCCGGGCCACGGAGCTGGTGGAGCTCCAAGGAGCTCTGAAGGTCGGGAGATGGCCGCTGCAGGGAATTGTCTTTGGTTCGCCAGCAGCCGCCTTGCGAGGCTCTCCTAGGAGAGGCTGCTTTGTTGGCTCTGTAAGGCGGTATCTGATGAGGGCGAGACACCGCTCCCTAGGAGAGATAAGCCACCTTTCTTGTAAAGACTAATCTCGTTTTAAATTTGAATGGTCTCCTTTAATAGAATAAGTTGTTTTTATCGTTTTTTTCCCGTCTGTACAAAACACGCCAGATTTGTTGCTAGAGATAAAGCTATAGCAAAGGACAGTGTTTAACAAAAGTATCAAAGGATTTCTCACAAAGCAATACTCAATATACGCTTCACGTTACTAATACCAAGGAAAGAAATAGATGGCCATTGTAGATCATCCATCTCCAGAGGAAAAAGGACTTTCCACAGCAGGTTTTGTGTAAAACTTGTGGCACTCAGAAGGTCCTGGTGTGTTATTTCAACTGTGTTTCACTGAGGATCATACAACAAAATAGTGAACAAACTAGTGAATAGATGTGCTTGCCTTAAGCTCACAATGTCAACCATTACCCACATGGATGGCTGTCTGGAAATCAGAAAGCATTAAAAAATTTTTAGGTTGCTTTCCCTTCACTCTTTGCTCACCCAGCAGCTTAGCAACACTTGCTCAGGATTCTCTGCAACAAATTATGTGGAAGAAACAAAACTAAATATTGCCTCAGCTTCCATAGCAGCGTGAAGCTCATACTGTAGCTCAGATAAATCTTCCTTTGAGGTCTTGGCCAGAGAAAACATTATTTAACTCACCTCGTTTTATTTTTTTTTAATAAAATTGTTTTTAAAATCTATGAGGCACATCAGAGGGGATAAGGCGTGCAAGGACAGCAAATCTGCTGTCAGACAAATAAGAAGCTAAATGCAATAAGTAACCAGAGGAAGCAGAAGGTCCTGAAAACAAGCCTGTAAAGGTGTTGGAAGGCCCAAGACAGCAGTCTAGTAGATGAGTGAACGGTGTAGATGAGTGCTCTCAGCCACCCAGCACGGAGGATGAGGAAGCTGCCACTTCTCAGGGCATGTGCAGTAGGGCTCCAAACAGGCACAGCCACTTCCAGGGCTAGAAATACACAGTATTTCTATATGTCTGACTACTGACACAGTAGTCAGACAGAAGCTAGCTGAAGGTCACAAGTGAAAGGAGAATCCAGTCCTACTTACAATGTGACTGTCGTACAGGGCTTAGATAGCCTGCCATTTCAGTTCACTGAAAGTACTTGGCATCATTCAGTAATGACTGAGGCCAATTCAAGCAAATCTGGAATTGACCCCTCATCTTCCTTTCCCTTCCCCAGGATGAGACAGGCAACACTCACCTTTCTCTGATGCCATGTGTCCAGTAAATCTGAGGCACATGGCAGCATTTCTAAACCTTTACAGAAGGGACAGTAAGTAACGTGCCCAGGCTGCTTGCCTGCCCATAATAAAAATTAAAGTGCAAATGGAGATTAGGGAAGGAACATGACCGTGATCTTCCATAACTAGTACATACAGAAATGCACAAGGAAAAATCCCAACATGCATTTGCTGGAAAGTGACACTGTTGTAAAACTGTTAAATCCGAGTTGATGCCATTATTCCCAAATGTTTCATTGATTTCTTACATTGCCAAAAACATTATTAACTGCCCAGAAGACTGTGTGCCCTTGCTTTCGCATTTCTCCATTTAAATAGACGGAGACTGTGGGAGATACTTTCAAATAGAGAAGCTGTAAATTTAAGCACTATTTGATTTTCAGAAGTGCTGAGGTTTCTTAACTGCCAGTGAAATGAATCGGAGGAGCATTTGCTCAGTACTGCTAAAAATTAGGGTGGTTTTGCTCAGGTAGTGCATTAACATTAATTAAATAAATAAATAAAAGCCTTGCACGCACACCCAGGTTGAAGATTTTGACCATGATTTTTATCAAATGTCAGCTAAGGCCAGGTGCAAGATCCTTGTGGCACATGAATAAAATCCTCATTGCATTCTTCACATGTTAAGAGCAGCAGTTTTGACTCAGCTTTTCTTTCTCAGTAGCACACTGTTCTGCTCTTTTAGTATTTAGATGCTCATTAAATTGTCCCTGTTGGGCAGAGGTGGGGTGTGGCAGGGGATTGATGCCTAAAATTTCTGACCCTGGCAGTGGAAAGCCCTTTTTTTGTTGTTCTTTAGTAGGGGAAAACCTATAAATAGATTTGTTTACCATGAAAATGCAAAAGGGCCTGTGGTCCATTAATTTTTCATATGGAAAAAGATATAAACAGGTTGCAAGTTTAAATAATTTACTTAGAAGAGGTAGAGCCTCCCTTTTATCTGACTCATTCATTTTTCAAATACAGATGTTGCTGTGAAACAGACTGCTGCTGGCTCCTGAGTGTTTTGCAGTGGTGTGGTTTTACTGGCTCAGTGGAAACCCCAAGTGATCAGTCCCTAATGCCCACATCATTAGGATCAGCCCCGAGGATCAGCCCCTTCTTGCCACAGCCGGATCAGGTGAACAACAGGGTGTGAGGGAAGAAAGGCCCTGCTGGTCAAGACGTCTGTAGTACAACGCACAGGTGAAAAGCAAAGAACTGTCACTAAAGCAGACTAAAGCTCTGTGGTGATGCCCTTATGAATTTATTCTCAAACCTTTTGGGAATACTGTTTCCCACTGCAGTTATTAGATGGACAGCAAGTTTTGCAGGGCTTTAGTCATCCTGCTCTCTGGTGTAAGCTCTATATCAGGAAGAGGAATGGCACCCAAACCTTTTCTGGCTACATATTACGGTATTGTTGAATTTGATAATTATGATTAATACTGTGCAGAGGGTTATAAACACAACAGTGCTAAATACAGATCAAGAATATAAAATGTTTGCAATGCACCCAAAGCATTCAAAATACTTCACAATATCAGAAAAATGAAAAAATGTTTACAAGCAGTACACATTTTCAGAAATCTCCATCCAAATATCAATGTTGGAAACATTTCTTTGCCAAGTATTAACTCCAGTTAGAGACTGAATCAGAAAACAAAATCTTCTGCTGCTTTCAGCACCTTTCCGAACAAGAAAGAGCATCAAAAGTGTAACGCTAAAGAGTTGTTGTTGTTGTTGGTTTTTTTTTATAAGGTATTGCTTTCACACCAGGGAAAGAAGTTTGGGAAACACTACCACCTCCAGCCTCTACCCCGTCAGGAATGGTATTAGCAACAAAACTGGCAGAAAAAGAGAGTCTTAATCTCTG